CGGCTTCACGAATTCAACCAAATTTATGCAGCATATTCGGGCTATCAGGCAGATGGTTTTTGTGAAGTTTGCTTGAATTCGGAAAAGGGGGGCGTGGCGCCTCTATTTTATATATAAAAATTAGTGAGTTAGCTTATAACTTGAGAACGGCTTCACCGAATTTAACCAAATTTATATAGCATATTCGGGCCATCATGCAGATATTTTATGTGGAGTTTGCCCAAATTTGGAAAAGGGGGTGTGGCATATGTCTCTTATGTATAAAAATAAGTACACGTTTTTGATGTGAGCTTATAACTTGAGAACGGCTTCACCGAATTCAACCAAATTTATACGGCATATTCAGGTTATCATGTGAAGTTTGCCCGAATTCGTAAAAGGGGGTGTGGCACCTCCCATACTAACTAAAATGTTTATGTTGTATATCTCTTAAAATATTTGTGGTAGAGTACTGGAAGTTGGTATAGAGGTATATCAAATAATTCCATACTCATGGATAAAAATGGGCGGTATTGGAAAAGAGGGCGTGGCACCTCCCATCTCCCTCCCAGAGGGGGTTTCGACCCTATTAAGCTGGCATTTCAGGGTACTATTTTATATATATATAAGGAAAATTTGAAAGTTAGGGGGGGCTCGAGCACCCCCCTGCCCCTACCTGGCTACGCCCGTGTCAATACATAAAGTTCACACCCGTAACAGAAGAAATAACTCAGATTTTTTTCCATAAAAAAAAAAAAAGTAATTTAGATATTTTTTCGTATTTGGTAATAACTCATGAATGAATTATAGCTTTGTCAAAATGTAGAATTGGTGTGTCCTTTCTACTTAAATTTAAAATATAAAATACACTTTTATCGCGAGTAAATGTATCGTGATGACTCGGACTTAGATTCGCCGAAGAGCTGTTTCTTCAGCATCTTTAAACCTGTAGCCCATACACACTACATTAATTAGCAGAATCATCGAAACAACCGTCTTATTAAGGCTGCTACAAATTATTTTTAAACATACATTTGTTTGTATTTATTTGAATATTATTTATGATTACATAGCAAAACCAATAATTTTATATTTTAAAACAAATCTATTTGTATGAATACCATAGATATCGACATTTATTCCATTACACACCTCGATTGCTCTTGCGGTGTTGAAAACACAATTGCTCGAATTAATCCATCTCTTACCGATTCGCTAGGATTGCCTACATTAAACATGAATTTTACCTTGTTGCAAATTACGTCGGGAACGCAGGTATACATTGGATACCATCCAACTTTGTTGAACACAACATATACTTTATATATCAAATTACGATAAACATACACCGGGCGATCAAATGTTATTTCCAGCAAAGAATCATACCGGACACGAGATGTGCAGTGGGTATATGTAAGCCTGGAACCTTGAATATCTTGAATGTGTGCATATAAAATCTCCGTATATCGCTCAGAAAACCCAGCCGAATTCATAAGCTCTCCGCAAAGGACCTGAGTGGGCACCTGAACGCCTGCATACACATACAAACATGGGTTTTAGTTATTGAACGAATCAATTATTACATACGAAATCTCAAACCTGTTATCCATATATTACTATCCACTTGAAAGGTTAGTCCGCAGTCAGTCACACTCGTGTTTCTATAGTCAAATTGTTGATTAAGTGTTCGAACGCAATAAGAACGTCGTGTATCGTTTGTTGCTAAATCAGTGTCACTACCGCCTTGGAAGGTACTTAAATTGCTTGAAGATGCCGATGGAGGCACAGCCGAAACATTAGAAGCTGTATTAGTCATAAAAGTTTCAAACGGTGCAAAACTTGTTGAAGCTGGTGCGTTCGAAGGAACTGAGTGGCGATAAGATGATAAGTCTCGTTGACTGCGGGATTCATAATATTCACGGCTTGTTCTCGAACTGCAAAATCCTTCTGGCATTGGGCAGTCGTTAATAGTTGGGCTTGAAATCTTAATAAGGATAGCAAGAGCTTCATGTTGTTTAAGTAGTTTAGATCGAGCGGGACCTTCAGCAAATTGTTGAGGTGTGAGTGTGAGGAAGCGAATTTTTTGAGTAGCCTGACGTATAAGAGACTCATCAATTTCGTTGCTGGAATTTGAGAAAGAAGTCATCATATTTGACTCAGAAGGAGGTGTAGTTTTCCGCGTACACTCTTTTTCGTCATACGTTCCGGATGTGTCACTATCAACGACAACTACGTCCTCTACTACATGGGATGAGAAGCTGTTTTCCTGTTGGTGTTGCAGAATATTTGAAACTCCCGGTTCCATTTTTATCTCAACATCGTCAGAAGTATCACTTTCTATAACTGATAATTGTTGCCTGGAGCCTTTTTCAAAACTTGATGATGATTGCATATGCAAGCCGTCATTTTCTATAAAAAGTCCACGTTCAGTAGCATATTTTACTAATGCATTAAAAAGCTCCAATTCAGATGTAATATTTAATCTATCTTGGTCAAGAATTGCCATTAATGTAGACATCTCTATATCTACGAAACTTGGATCTTCTAGCACATCGCGTGTGTTCGCTGCTATAATCTGTATAAATAAAATTATTGTAATATAAATTTTACTGACTATATTGTAATGCTACATACGACTTACACTCATGCTACTCTGCATTAAACGCGGTTCATCAAACAACTTTGCAAACTCATACGCACGACAGGCATTTTTAGGACTTAAATCTGCCCATAGAAAATGAGTGCATTGTTCTACCACGTAAGGCAACATATACTTTTTAGCAACATAACACAGCTCACAAGCTTTGTCGAATGAGCTAATGCTAATACGATCAGAATATATATACTCCATCATTGCCAAAAAAGCATCGGGCTGTACATCGGGTATTAAAATTGGGTCATTCTCGTCCGGAAGATTACCATAAAACATTCGCTCAAAAACAGGCGAGGACATTGCCAAAATTAGCTTGTGCCCAGCGAGCATCCTCTGATTCGGTGCTGTTCCTACCAGAAATCTACAATCGGACCACTTTTCAGATTGTAGTAAGTAGAGACCACGCTCCTTAATTAGTTGAAACCCATTTTGCCAATCTAACTCCATAGTGTTGTACTTTTTCCTAATTTTTCTCAAATTCCAATCAATCTAATTCGAGCAACTCTATTGTGTATAAATAAAAATAAAAATTCGTGCTGCCACGCTGGTGAGAACTCAATAATCAAAAAGTTTTAATCGATTATGAACCAAACACTCATTCTTTATGCTTTATACTACGTGTACATAGCTCCACATTGTGGCAAATACCATGAACGAAAGATACAAGATCACGCAATAAAGGCCAAAATTCAAAATAAGCATTTTTTAAATCAATTTTTCTCGAAAACTTTTTCTGGGATTTTGAAAATTGGTGATGTCATTCAATAGAGAATTTAATTCTCCTTTTTTTATTACCCTACCAGTTTTTGCAAAAGTTCTAGAATTAAAAAGGAAATGTATCAAACTTTTATTTGATAGTTTATAGTATGCAATCAATAGTCCCCATTTTACCAAGGCTGCATTTCTT